CTCAGGGGTGAAAGCCTAGCATGGGCCGATCCCAATTTGTGGAATTATGCGGACAACATTCCAGGGGATAAAATGTCTAGCATGGGTCATCCTCTTCTACCGCTGATCAGCTGGTCATTTGTATCATGTCTTATAAAGATTATAATGCAAAGAAAAGTAAACAAAAGAATGTAACATACATGATTCCACAAGTATAAAGCAAAGGTGGCCTATAATCCTTATCTAATGGTATTTGGTTTCACTTGAGCTCTCTTTTTACATATGGTTGTATTATGCCTTACATATTCAGTACATTCTTTCGTACTGATGTCCCTTATTGGGGACGCTGCATTTCATGCTGCAGGTACATGTACTCAACTAGTAGATCTCCCCAATAGAAGCACATGATATTCAACGGTTGTTGGTGAGCTCCAGGTTGATTCGGGGCTTTGCCGAGTCTTTACTATTCGTAGTGCATAGTGGTACAGTCATGGATTCCAGTAGAGGCTTTGTTGACCAAAAATATAAAGCTATCACCTGAATTTATAGTTTCACTTGTCACATGTATCAGTTCAGCTAGTCAACATGTGTTGTATATGAAGCTTCTCATTAGTAAATATATCTGCATAGCAGTACTTTACTTTCTCATCATAGGTGACTTGTAAAACATGTGTTCATATGGTACCTGTCCGCCTCACGTAGGGTTGGGGTGTGACAGATTCTATGATTTTTCCGGGTTTCTTGCGAGCTGGAATGGAAAAATGAAGAAAATGCTCTTTTATGAAGTTCCGCCGATATAGGGGACCCACTAGCCGCCTCTGTTGCACAGTCGGTACAAAAAAGTGTATATCTCAATATTCCGATGTTGTATGAATGAACAGTTTGATACATTGGAAAATAGACTCGTAGACCTTCAATTTGATATATTGTGGGCCCTCTAACTTCTTATATTGGGAGAAAACCTACGAGACATTTGCACTAAATTTTAGAGAAATCTTTAAAAAGGAACTTGCGATAACTTTCGCCAACTTTTATTACTAAACTCGTTTAACTTCAAAAATTAAGATGTGACCCTTGTGAACTTAAAATATGACACCTCATCATTACTTATATATTAATCACTTTTCGTCTTGCTACGAAGATACGAGTTAAGTTAGAGTTTTGAAAAGTCGGGGTGTTCTAATATTGATAATGATAATAATAATAATAATAATAATAATAATAATAATAACAACAATAATAATGATGATAATAATAATAAAAATAATAATAATAATTATTATTATTATTATCCAACATTATTTGCACATAATTTTATGAAGATCAAACAATATGTTAGAAATTGACACATTATAAAAATTATTTTATATTTATAAAATTATTCCAATAACGATATTTGAAAATCAATACACTTTAGACATAGTGGATATGAATACATTATAAAAATTATAAGAACCATATTGTTCATATGTATTGACCATATTTATATAATTAATAGATACCAGAGAGAATCATGTACCAATGTTAGAGTTTCGCGTCCATATGTTAGGCCTACTTGATAACTTGAGAATGCTAACTTATATTTACTATGTATTAATATAACCTCTACTTAAGAAATTTTATTAATTATTATACTTAAATCAATTTAAATCATATATTTAAATACTTTAAATAATAATTGTTTAATTTATATCAAATAAATAATTATAAATTGTATATGTATTTGTAATCATTTGATTGTTTAAGTAATATACTCTTCAATCTTTATAATTATAGTTAATATAATATTGTCAATCTATAATTAAAAAATATGCCTTCATAGAATTTATTGATTATATATGTGATTTTATTGATTATTTAATAAAAAATTGGGCTTAAATATTTATAAACATATACAACACATACGTATGTATATGATTTTTATTTTTATTTTTATTTTTATTTTTATTTTTCTTTGAATCATCTTCTCAATTAATATAATTGAAGTAACTAATCGTGCATTCATGGTTAGAAATGGTGAAATAATTTTTAATAATTATTATTATTTTGTTTAGAACAATTAGAACATACAAAATTTGATATGTTATTCGAGGTATAGATATAAATGTCTTATTATATCTTTCTGATATTTAAAATATCTAATTCTCAAAATTATATTCTTGTTTTTTTCTTAAAAGAAAAGCGCACACATTGTATGAGTGGTTTATTAATCATGGTACAATTGAATATAATTTTATTCGTTGATTATATAAAGAAAAATCAATTGTAAATTTGAAAATTAATACTTAATCCAATTTACTAAATCGTGTATTACCGAGTTGTTAATGTAATTTTTAATTGGAGAATAATCTACTTATATCTATTATTAACATGAATTTAATTTTCTCCTTTTGATAGAAAATTCTATATTAAATAAAATAATTTTAAAAAAATGTATATTCTGATTGTGTTATACATTAATTACATACATTAAATATATTTTAATTCAAGTATCCTACATAAAATACATCTATTTTGAAGTATTATAATTGATCATTAGGTATTGATTGATTTTTTATTTGTTTGTTTTGAAACATCCACTTAATTAGTATTATATGAGTAACTGGTTTTTTTTATTCATGATCAAAATTAGTGAAATAATTTTACCAATTTTAATATATGTTAATTATTTTTTGGAATGATTATAATATAGAAGATTAATGTGTCATTCATGACATAGTTATAAATGTCTTATAATCAGTTTTTTTTTTTTATAAACATCTAATTTCCAAATTTACAATGCTTTTTCTCTTGAAAAACATTCATTATGTAGACTAATATATTTAGTGGATTATATTTAAAGAAAAATTCAATTAAAACTTTTTGAATCTACCCTTTATTACTATATTTTACTAAATTTGTATTATAAAATAATTGATTATAATATTAAGTAAAATAAGGTAGTCAGTTTTAGTTATTATTAATGAGAAATTTAATTGTCATCTTCAATAAAGAGATTTATTTTAAGCAAAAAAATACTTTTTTATTTTAAGCAAAAAAATACTTTCTCAAATGTATGCATTGGTACAATATGAACACAATTGAGTTTGGGGCAAGGGGTAGAGGAAGGAGTGTAGGTTATGTATATGTACAACATAATCTGTATGGTATAGTAATGAAAAAAATATATTAATGTATAAAAACGAAATTACAAATTTTTTTTTTAACTAAAGCGTACAATCTTTTTTTAATTAACGGAACAATATTTATTTTTAAGAATAAATCGAATGAACTATATACACACAACAAAATATATACACAAAAATACTTTTTATTTCCCTTGGTTGCCAAAGAATTAGTATTTTTGTAGTTCAAGGAGTTTGGAAAATAGAAAAAAGTTACTTTTATTTTAGAGGGAAAAGTATTGAGAAAATAAATGCAAAAATTGAAATATGGATATTATAGACTTTTTAGCATTACTCTTTATAAAAACTATAAAAATAAAAAAGATTTTGTGGTAAGCAGAATTTAGTTATTTTGTTGAGAATGGCTTAAGTAACAAATTTTAGTAAAATTAATGGCATAGAGATAAAAAATGAAAATGAAGTGTGTTGGCCCTTTTTAACGCATCTCCGATGATTAGTAGGATGCAATATTGATAGGGTTTTCTAATGAATTGAATGGGAAAAAAAGAGAATCATGTCAAAGTTGAACTTGACAGAAGACCCTTACCTCCTTAGCAAAGGGCTAGTAATATGTCGGGGTATCCATCCTCCACACACCTTTGGTATTTTTTCAGGAGAAAATCCATTGGAGTTTTCTTTTTCCCTTGTCTTGTTAGAGATATCAACCATCATTGCCATCTCTCGTTTCATTCGTTATCTTCTCAAGCCTCTCCGCCAGCCAAGAATCATTTCTGAGCTTCTAGTAAGTAGCCTTTATTATTTTTCAGTTTTTAACAAATACTTAAAATGTATATTATATTATATTATATATATATATACTTAGTTCTTCCGATTTTTGTTTTGAATCTTAAGGGTGGAATAATCATAGGCCCATCTGTTTTGAGCCGAAGCAAGGGATTTCGCAACTTTATCTTTCCGGATACTGCTGATTATGCACTCAAAAATATTGGACTCATTGGTTTTATGTATTTTCTTTTCATATCTGGTGTAAAGACAGATTTGACACAGATAAAGAATGTTGGCAAGAAACAATGGTACATAGCCATATTTGGGGTGTCCATTCCCATGTTATGTAGTCTTTTTATTGGATTAGCTCTTCAAAAATCAATGGAAAAAGAATTAGCCAAAGCTTCATCCATGTTAGGAGTAACGTCAGAATTGGCAATCACGGCTTTCCCAGTTATCTATCCAATTATCAGAGAGCTTAATCTCCTTAGCTCCGAAATTGGAAGAATGTCACTATCCACTGCCTTAATAAGTGATATAATTGGAATTCAATTTGTTGTTATATTTGAGGCAGCTAAACAAGGGGAGCATAAAAGTATGGCTGCCTTGTGGTTTCTCATTTATTCATTTTTGATTGGAGCATCCATTTTTGGAGGTGTTAGACAGATTATGATATGGATAATAAAAGCAACCCCGGAAGGGAAGTCAGTGGAGCAAATTTATGTTGTTTTCATACTCTTGGGAGTATTGCTTACTGGTTTCTTATGTGATTTGGGTGGTATTGCAGTGGCTAATGGACCACTTTGGTTGGGACTCGCCATTCCAGATGGCCCACCATTAGGAGCTACATTGGTCGAAAAGACAGAGACAATTGTCATGGACATTCTCATGCCATTTTCATTTGCATATGTTGGAATGTTCACTGATATTTCATCTATCTATACTCATTGGCCACATCTTCAGCCTATATTTTTTATGGCTCTCACAGCTTATCTTGTTAAAATGGTTACTGTCCTCTTTACTTCCTATTTTTTTAATATGCCATTCAGAGATTGTCTTGCTCTTAGCCTTGTATTGAGCCTAAGAGGTGAAGTTGAGCTTTTGATCTTCATTCACTGGATGGATTTGAAGGTGCTCTTCTCTTTCTTTACTATTTCATTCTTATTCAAACAACATACATATATTGAGATAAATTCTAAATCTACTCGATTTTTTTGACTTCGTAATATTTCTTGTGTTCATATTCATTTAATGCAGATGATAACGAGACCATATTTCACAATGCTAGTGCTAATGACAATTGGGGTGACATCTATTGTGACTCCCTTGATCAGTATGGTTTATGATCCAACGAGGCCTTATATGATTAACACAAGAAGAAACATTCAACATACTTCTTTAAACACTGAGTTGAACATTATAGCTTGTATACATGACGAGGAAAATGTGCCTGGTATAATAAATATTCTATTTGAAGTCTCTAATTCAACTGCTCCTAGGACTTCCATGGTTCATGCCTTGCACCTAATGGAACTAGTTGGTCGTGCTGCCCCTATTTTTATCGATCACCAAGAATCGGTAAATATAGATCAAAATCCAATCCATAATGCATTGAAGCATTTTGGTGGAGAAAATATCACGATTAATTCGTATACATCATATTCTCCTAAGAGGAGCATGTATCAAGACATATGCAAGTTGGCACTAGAGAAGAAAGCCTCCATTATTATACTTCCCTTCTATAAAGGCACTCAAGTACTAACAAGACAAGGGGTTCAATTAGTGAACTCTAATGTCTTAAACCATGCTCCTTGCTCAGTTGGGATTTATGTGGACCAGGGTGCTTCCCCTACTAGTAATAATTATAATGTAGGTAGACGGTCATCAATTAACAAATTTGCTCTACTTTTTATGGGAGGATCAGATGCTAGGGAGGCACTTTCTTATGCTGATAGAATTGCTGCAAATCCAGATGTATCACTTACTGCTATTCGTTTCCTTTCCCATAATGGTGAAGGGGATAACGAGATGGAGAAGAAATTAGATGATGGTCTTGTAACATGGTTTTGGGTGAAGAATGAAGGTAATGAAAAAGTTGTGTATAGGGAAGTTGTGGTGAAGAATGGGGAGGATACAATCGCAGCACTTCACACATTGCAGAATGAAGAATTCTTTGATCTTTGGATACTTGGGAGAAATCAAGGCATAAATCCTGTGCTATTACAGGGATTAACACATTGGAGTGCTCAAAATGAACTAGGAGTTATAGGAGACTTTCTTGTCTCAATGAATTCAGGTACCACAACTTCTATTTTAGTGATGCAACAACAAATTTTAAGAGGCCAAGAACCCACTTCTCTTGGTTTTCTAAAAAAAATTGCAACTTGTCGATAGTAGAGATCTCGTATTATGGTTTTTTTATAGGAATAGAAATGAATATATATCCGTACAATCTACATAAAATCATATACGTAATTTTAGATCAAGTGTGTGATGAGTTACACCATAGGGTAAAGTACAACCTCAAAATGGATGAATGCAGAGACTATATGATAAATATTTATTGTTATTACCGAGATATGGTATTGCGTGAAACTTAAAGTATATCCTTGATTTTAAAGGGAGAAATAACCTTTTTTTAACAATATCTTTTTTATCAATTCAGTCGCTACTATAGTTTGTAGTATATAGTCACGGAATGGGTATAAAATTTTCTTACGCAAATCATAATATTTAAATATCACATACTTTGAATGTGAACATACACAATGGTGGTTGTGCAAATATATTTTGAATGTGAACATACACATATCAATAAGTTATTGTCGTATGAAAGTAATCTTCTTTATAGATGTTATACAACAACTCGATAAGTATAGAATGGCTAGTAATTCGTTACAAATTTTGTAGTCTACATCTAATACAAGTAATTAATATTGTTACTAAAGATATGTAATAGTTAATGATATAATTAATTTTAGTGATATATATAAATCATAATTGCATATATAGATACAATTTATCTAACTCAAAATTATTACGTTCATTTTTAAAATTTCAAAAAGGAATATTGATTGAATTAAATTAAAATTCGACTCAAATGTATCATCACTTCTATTAGTCAACATCAATATAATTTTTCTGTGATGACCCCAAATTTGTTCGTGATGGCGCCTACTACAAACCCCAAGTAGGCAAGCGGCAAGCCTAAACTCAAACAGAAGATGCAACATATAATAGTTTAAATAGAAATAAAAAAAAATAGAAATAGAATATAGGAAACGGTCCATGTCATAAATATTAAATATGATACAAAATATACAATAAAGACCCAAAGTTATCTAGATGACCAACAAACACAAAACCAGCCTCTGGTCTGGTGTAACCTATACAGGAGCTACTAAGTACAAGAGAATTGACTTATTAATAATACAAAATACAAGTACAAAAGAGGAAAAAATTCAAGTCTCTGAACGACAAGAGCTTAAAACGATCCAAGTTTGTGATGTAAAAGGAAGATCAACGCTCAAATAGGGTGGCTTGTACAGGAGCTGCATTAGAAAAAGATTCAAAAGTTTAGTATGACTACCAAACACGGGGTACTCAATCGGCATCATAGGCGCATCATAGGCCGACTAATCTCAGAAAGATCAAAAGTATAAAAAGAAGAATGATGAATTGATGATACTAATAAGTCAAAGGATAAAAAATTCTAAGATACTATAATCATACTAGGGGGAACAAGTAAACATTTTACGAAGAATTCACTCACAGCTAAACACAAATACAATGAAACCCAAACATACTCAGAGGTAAAACCACAAAATAATACAATGTAAGTGACTAAGTGAAGTAAGAAATAAACCGGAAGAAACATCGAGCCTCTCGGAATAATGCCTCAAACATAACCATAAAGACCCAATAACCCGGATATATGTTTTGGGGATGATACATCGAGCTTATCAACATGTATAAATGATAGAATGTAGCCACCCCTAAGCCAACGGGCCGCCTAGAATGATACGTTGAGCTTATCAGAGTAAAAGTAGTCGAAAGTACGACAATCAAGTATATAAGTCATTTTACCATTTTCGGTCATAACAGGTCCCAAGGACTACCAAATCATTAGGAATTTTTTTTTTGTCTTCAAGATAATCAACACCTTCACAAACCATCACAAAATCCATAAGTTCATGCAAAATCACAACAAACCAGCACATACTCGAGAAACTCCTGTTCAGGCAGACTTACTAACCAGAGACTCTAGCTTGTTTGCTCACGACCTTGGGCCAAACAATAATAAATTAAGAATAAAAACTCAAAAAGTGCCATAAACAACCAAAAACTCAAACAAAGTGAAACACACGGTAACCTAAGTTTCACACCACCTACGAGCAATTTCTAAGGATACTATTCTATATAAACACAAGGATCAACCTACACTAAGGCTTTTCTGGCTAAAACTATACTAAGCAACCCAATAAGGGTAATAAGTCAACTAAGTTCATAAACCCTACACTAGTCCTATACTCAAACCTAATCATGAAATAATACTCAGAATACATTCAATCTAAAAAATCCAAGTCCAAGAAAAAAGAAATTGTAACCTACTTTGAAGCCGAAACCGCACACAAACTATAACTTGGGTGCTTATCCCTTTTGGAGATCCTCTGACAACTGCCAAGCTATCAAGAACAGAAAAACAAAATCAATATGGCACTATCTTACTCATTTCATCAAAATGAAATTCAAACCGAAAAGCACGTCAAAAATTGATCCTTGAACGATGTTAGAGAATTCTGAAACTAAAACAATCATTATGTTCTACTGATAATGAGGATCACAATTCTGAAAGATGGGCCAAAACTGAGTTCAATTCCGACGCCAAATGGTCTAATTACCAAAATTGAAAGATTATAAACGAAGGAGTATGAGGCTAAATATGGAAATGAATTGGAAAACCGCTGAATCACTTAAATTGGTCAAGAAGTGAGTAAAATCGCCCTTGGCCGAGCTCCACTCAATTGGGCTTTTTTCTTAGAAGAAATGAAGAATAAAGGGATTTTACTCCCAACTACTTTTGAAAAAGAGGCTATTTGGCTGTTTAAGCAATCATCGCTTAAGTCGTCAAAGGGTCGCAAGCGCAACCCTCGCCTAAGAGGTGCATGTCACTTAAGCGGCTCCATGGTCACAAAAGCAATCTTTGCTAAAGCAGCTAGCTAGTCGCTTAAGCGATCCCCGCCTACTGGTGACCTTCGTTTAAGTGACCCCTTGGTAGCTATAGCGACCTTCTCTTAAGAGATCAAGGGTCGGCAAAAGTGATTGCATGAGATCCCACATCCACCAAATATTAGCTATGAGCTCCAAACTTCAAACAAACCCTTGGAATTTATTGGAGGTCCAAACGATGCAAAGCAAAAATGCATATTACTCCGAAAAGATATCCTAGACTAAATGGAATCAACGAAACAATCAATAGAGGTTATCTTGTCAAAATATTGACCAATGTCAACACTTCACAAAGAAACACCAATAAAACGCTAAAAGCTAACAAGTTGTCATGATACCCTAGGGAACCAAACCAAATGTCATTATTGACTAAACTTGGCATTCCAAAGTTAACCACACTAATGTTATTCTATTTTGAATGCATTTACCAAGAAAGTTGATCGAAGTCAAACTTTGGGTAAACCTCAAAAACTATAATGGCTAATCCCACTAACTCCAAATGAATGTTTCGAAGCCCAAACCGCACTAGACAAAAATGACCTTTCAATAGCTGATGATAGGGCTATTCATGGTTATGGTTATAAAACCAAACCAAATTGCCATCCGAACCAAACCGATTAAAAAAAACTGATATGTGGTTTGATTTGGTTTTAAATTTTGAAAAACTGATTTTATTTGATTTGGTTTTGGTTTTACTAAAAATTAACCAAAAAAATAATCAAACCAAACCGAGAAGTTATATATATAAATTTTATAATTATTTATAAATAAAATATAAGTATATTGATAAATTTTAATCAACTCAACTCTTTAATTTTACTATTTTTGAAGCCCAATACTTAAATTTTAGCCCAACTATCAAAACATTAAGTCTAAATCCCTCAATATTCATTACTTTAAAGATCACACTCTCTCTGTATTTTATAAAGTTTTCTAACGCAACATTGAATATTTAAAAGCTCAAACTAAAGAATATGGTAATTGATTAGTTTTGACTATGAAATATTGGTTGTTTTTTTAAAAGTAATTTCTTAATATATTAAGGTGTAATTTTATTGAAAAGTCTATTGACAAGATGTTGAGATCTCCAGAATATTGAACCAACTTTATGCTATTAACAATCAGTTTTTTTAGTTTCTGAAACTTGGTCCATTGGATGAATCACTTTGTTCGTATAATAGCTTATAATTTGTGAATTATTCATATACTAAGTGTTTGTGTCTATCGAGATGCGTATGTCATCAACAAACTTATTACTTTCAAACCGGAAAAAACTAAAAAAACCTAACCAAACCGACAGCTATTTTTTTGATTTGGTTTGGTTTGGTTTCAGAAATTTAAAATCCGATTTAAATTGGTTTGTTTTTGGTTTTAACTAATAACCGATCCAAACCGAACCATGAACACCCCTAGTTGATGGGACTAATGAAATTATGATCCGATATTAGAATCTCCGGATGTTGACTAAAGTCAATATTTTTAAGCATTAATCCTTAAAAACTAAAAACTTTCTCCAATCTCAATTGATCACCTTGGAAAGTGTGACACCCAACCCAACACCACACAAAAGCTATGGGAAGGAACAAAATAGTATAAGCACGAAAAAGCATAGAAATGACCTCACGGGTCATTTCAGCCTCCACTACTAAAGTAACATTCATCTATGAAAGGGAAACAAAGGAAGTACCTGAAGGCTCGAAAAGATGGGGATATCAAGTCTGCATATCATGCTAGGACTCCTAATTAGCCTTCTCGATTTGACAATGCCTCCACTGAACTTTCACTAATAGGATATCCTTAGATCGAAACCACTTAACCTACCTATATAGAATGGCCATAGGATCCTCCTCAAAACTCAAGGACTCATCAAGCGAAACCGAATTCCACTAAAGTACATGAGAGTCATCGAGAATATACCATCTCAACATTGAGACATGAAACATTGAACGAACACACAAAAGAATTAGAGGTAAGGCTATCTCATAAGCCATCTCTCCTACCTACCTCCGAATCTCAAAAGTGTTGATGATCATGGGGCTATCCTCGCCCCTCCTCTATAATCTCATCACACCCTTCATTGGCGATACTCACAGAAATACTCGGTCACAAACTATGAAATCAAAAGGCCACAACCTCCGATTAGCATAGCTTTTCTATCTGCTCTA